GCCTCAGCCTCCAAAGTAGTTGGGACCACAGGCACCCACCACAATGCCTGGCTATTTTTTGGTTGCAGCTGTCATTGTTGTTTTGGCGGGCCCGGGCTGGATTCAAACCTGCCACCTTAGGTGTCTGTGGCTAGCACCTTAGCCACTTGAGCCACAGGCGCCGAGCCAAGAGACCCTGTCTCTTAAAAAAAAAAAAAAACCTAAGAAAATAGGTTGTGGGGATATTTGCACAGCTCCATAAACACACTGAAACCATTGAATTGTAAAATTAGGTAAAATTTTATAGTGTATGAATTCTATCTCAATAAAGCTGTTTTGTTTTAATTTGGGACAGAGTCTCACTCTGTCACCCTGGGTAGAGTACTGTCATAGCTCACAGCAACCTCAAACTCTTGGGTTCAAACGGTCCTTTTGCCTCAGCTGCCCAAGTAGCTGGGACTATCGGCACCCACCACAATAACCTGCTAAAAGCTGTTATTTAAAACAAAACAAAACTCACTTGGTGAGGTGAGGTTTTCCCCCTCCCCATATCAGTGTGGTTAATATTCATTTGGAAGATAGTTCAGTATTTTTGTTATTCTCCATTTTAGAGTTTCCCCCATTTTTTTTCATTTTACTTTATATAAAACACTACTTTATTAAAACGTTAAAATGGGCTGGGTGCAGTGGCTCACTCCTGTAATCTTAGCACTCTGGGAAGCTGAAGCAGGTGGATTACTTGAGCTCAAGAGTTGGAGACCAGCCTAAACAAGAGTGAGATTAGTAGACATGCCCAGAGTCATCAAAAAGGATTCTGAGTCATGATCTAGCTAGGGAGGTCTCCAGTCCAGAAATTGAAATGATAGTTTTGTCAGGGACAGGGATCGTTTGTCAGGGACAAACATGAATGACTCTATAAAATGTAGTCGAATTTTCCTCTTGAAAACTAGACTGTAAGGACAGTACTTTGTCCCTTCATGTCCTTTATTCAATTTCCCCAGAAAATAAAAGCAGCACTGTCCCTTCTCCACCCCAGAGAGGTCCATATCTTCTAATCTCAGAACCCATGACTATGTTATATTAGACAGTGAAGGGCAATGAAGGTTGCAGGTGGGATTAAGGCTGCTAATCAGCTGCCCTAAGGTCTCCACAAGGAGCTGTAGGGAGGAGAATCAAGGCAGACTGAGAGACAGTTGAAGACATTACTGTCGCTGACTTTGAAAGGGAGGAAGGACCCGTGTGCCAAGGAATGAGGACACATTCCTGGAGACCGGAAAAGGAAGGAAACGAGTTGGGCCCTAGAGCCTCCGGAGGAGACACAGCCGGCTGACATCTTGATTTTAGCCCAGTGAGACCTGCGTTGCGCTCTGTCCTGCAGCACTATAAGAGAATAAGTTTGTGGTGATTTGTTAACACAGCAATAGGACTGTCATACAGCTGACAGGTGCTGCATTTTCCTGCACGGTCAGACTGCCCTGCAGGACAGGAGACAGTGGACAGGCCACAGACTGTTGGACGCCCACAAAGGGAAGTCTGTAGGGATAAAGGGACGAAGGATGGAGTCCTGGGGAGGTAGAGGGCAGCCTGTTGCGGCTCAAACTCCTGGCCTCATCTCTCTCACCTTTCTCTATCATGAGAGGGACACACTTCACACTCCCACCTCTCTTTGTTAGAGCTCCAAAGTTGCCCTTTGTTCTGAAATAAAATTTCTCTTTGTTACACTGAAAAAAACCAAATGACTCCTGGCCTTGTGTCATCCTGCCACTCCCAGAGTGCTGGGATTACAAGTAAGGGCCACCAGGCCCAACCTTGATATTTGTTTTAATATTGTAGTCTTTACTTTTAAATACGGTCTTCAGGTTTCTTTACGCTTTAGGGGATAATATGATCCAAACTCTTCCTCTGAGATTCAGTTTCATAATCTGTTCCCATAACCTGAGAGGTGAGATAGAAACTGAAGTGGGTTCTGCTACTTTTCCCATCCTAATAGCCGTTGCTTAGCTTGAGAGGGAAAATGGGAGACTAGATTAGAGGGATTAGAAACCCAGATTTGTGTGCATGGGGACTTGGCAGGGAGGTCATTTGTAGCAATTGAAGCCAGGGCATCTTAGGACAGTGTCCAACTTGGTGTTAGGTGTGAAAATGATAGCTTTGCCAAATTGTATTTTATGGAAAATTCCCTTAAAAAATGCCAAATCTTCACCAAGGTGTGCAGATCACCTGAGCTCACGAGTTCGAGACCAGCCTGAGCTAGAGT